GCTTTTATGTGGATAATATGGATCTGAATTCAGAACCCCACAGTGAGCACTTACCCACTGAGCCATCCCCCAACCCTACAACCCCCTTCTGTTTGTTGGAGTCACAGTCAGTCACTCTAGCCATAGGGGCAAGGTGCACAGAGCCTGGCTGCTTTTCCAGTCACCTACCTATTTGGGAGAACTGAGAGCCACATGTCCCAAATTCTTCCTGGAACCCTTCAGATTCCAAGTATTGGACAAAATGTTCAAGTGAGTCTCATGTTTCCATCAGGACAAGAAAACACCAGACCAGCAAGGCAGAAGGGTGGAGACCTTCCTATTACTCCAAACAGGCTTAGACAGGGGGCACATGTGTGTACCTGTATATATAATGGTCGTGTATGTGTGCGTGCACATGTGTGCATGTGTATGCGGAGGCCAGAGGTTAAGCTTGAATGTAATTCTTTAGGCTCCATATTCCTTTTCTTTTTTTGACACGGGGTCTCTCACTGGCTTGAAATTTGACAAGTAGGCTAGGTGGCCAGAGATCCACCTCCCCATCCCTGGGATTATAAGCATGTGACACCACGTCCAATTGTGTGTGTACATGTTCATATGGATATGTAAACATGTGCATGCAAGTGCGCATTTATACATGCCTGGGGAAGCCAGAGGTCAACATCAGGTATCTTCCTCAATCACTTGCCCCCTTATTTTTCCAGAGACAGTTGCTCACTGAACCTAGACCTCATCATTTTGGCTATGCTGACTGGCCAGAGAGCTCCAGGCCCCAGCACTAGAGTTACAGACACAGCTGTTTCACTCTACTTTTACACAAGTTTTAGGGATCCAAACTCAAGTCCTTATGCTTGTACAGCAGGCACTCTGCTAACTGAGCCATCTCCCCAGTCCATGTACAGCTTTTTAAAAAATATTCTTTGAGGCAGGGTCTCACTGTCTCACTAGTAGTCCTGGCTGGACTGTTGTGTAGACCAGACTAGACTTACATTCAAAGAGATCCACCTGCCTCTACCACTTTAGTGCTGAGATCAAACATGTGCAACCACACAAGACCATGTACAGCTTTTTTTTTTCAATGTGAGTTCTGGGGATCACACTCAGGTCCTTGTACTTGCAAGGCAAGTACTTTACAGACTTAACTATCTCCCCAACTCCCAAGGGGGCATCTTAGTCAGCTGCTAGGCCCCATGACAAATCCTACTAAGTGTTCCTCTGAATGACAGGGAGTTAAAAGTTTGCAGAGGACTGCTCAAGTGCCTGTGCTGGGATGATGAGCTTACGGGAATGTCTGCTTTCTTCTCAATGCTCTTCAATAACACATACATTTTTACAAAGAGCATTTACACTATTTGTAATCAGGAGAAAAGCCAATCTGTTTAAAAATAAAGGCACAAAACTTGTTGCTCATCCCAAGCCTAGACCTCTTGCACAATGAGAACCAGCTGTCTCCATGTCTGTTTATGTATGGAAATTTTAATTTCCACTTAGCTACCCTAAATCTCTCTAAGGAAAAATGTGGTCAGGAAACCAAGAAGGAAGGGATGCTGAGTGTAAGCTTGCTTTTTGAAAACAAATTTTATTGCAAAAAGTTTTCTAGGTTGCATTATACTGAAATGGTATTCAGGTCAGGGATGAACAACATTTCCTAAACTTTGACACTAATTTTACCTTCAATTGCCTTCCCTTCTGATCATGTGGCAGGAGGGTACCGGAACCTGTGAGGTCTGTGTGCAAAGTCAGCCAAGCTCATTGACCTTGGATGAGTCCTTCAACACAGGACACTAGGTCATACATGCAAAATGCAAGCAGGAACTCGCTGATTAATCAGTCTCTTTACTTCTTGAGTTTAAACAAAAAAGAATGGCTTTTAAAATATCTGACAGTTTAGTCTTAGCCCAAGGAGCACTGAACTAAGGAGGCAATGCCAGCTCAGTGAAGTGGCATTTTGAGAGCTTCCCAGACAGGGGGCGTAATTACAGGGTGGCTCTGGCAGTCACTCAGACAACATTTGAGCATGAAGTAGAAGCAATTGTTTCCTCCATTCTACAACAAAAAGCTCTGATGTGTCCACCTTTCATGCAAGGACTATGGCTGGCGCATTTTTTTTCTCTTTACACTGTTAAAAAATTATTGATGTGTAAATAGAGAGTGATCCATAAAAACTAAGGCATTAAAGGGGTGGCCACGCCTCCCCTCTATCAGGCCCTGAATAGACCATAATTCCAGCATTGTTCAGGGGCAGCTGCATGGCAGCAGCCAGGAACTTGCCAAAGCCTGAGAGATGCTGGGGCCTGCCTCTACTCTTGGTGTCCAATTGAGACATCAAATCTGGCAAATGGTTATTTTAACCACCACTTGGACCCGCCCTTTACTGTTCAGTCCTTAGCTTCAACTCCTCATTAAGCAAAGATTACTCAGAATTCAACAGCACATGTGTGCTTGGAAGGTTTCCTTTATAAGCATGATGCTGAACTTGGAGGCAGGGAGCTAAAGATGCCCACAGTGGCTCTGTGGGAGTTATCCAGAAGGATGGAGAAAGGGATGAAAGGCAAGAGGGAGGGAAGGAGAGAGGGAGAGAGGAAAGAAGGATTCGATTAGTATATTGTGTATCTAGTCAGCAATTGGTTAGTTGAATCCCTGGAATAGCACAGAGCTCCTTGGCCACAGGGCCATTAAGAGTTCCTCAGCTGTACTGGGGATATAACTTAGACTGTCTAACATGTTTAAAGCCCTGGGTTTGATTCCCCAGCACTGCATAAACTCAGTGTAGTGGTTCACACATGTAATCCCAACACTTGGGAGATAGAGGTAGGAGGATTAGGAGTTCAAAGTTATCATTGGCTATATAGCAGGTTTGAGGACAGCTTGAACTCCTTAGCAGCTGGGGGAGGGTGGCTGGTTACGTCTTCATTAATGCACACAGGTATTTGACAGACACCCCCAGGGGAAGATGCTGGTCTGGACAGTATAGCATCATTCTCTTTCTTCTTCCTGAACACATCTCTAAACATAAGCATCTTATATTTAATGGAACCAGTGGCCATGCAGACACACACAGGGCCTTAGATGCACCCCTCATGGCCCTACACACACAGTGACCTGGGAATGCTAAGTTGATTCCCCAGCCCAGGCTATTCTATCTCTGATGGTCCCCATAAAGCCTCCCTCCATTAGACATTGTGGGTGCCCTGACAAGGGCCTGAAGCTGCCAGGCTGAAATGGCACTGCACCCACTAACTTGGGAAAGAGACACAGATATGCATGCCCCCGCCCCCACCAAGCCTGGGGGTAGGAAGTGCTTATCAGTCCCAGCTGCCAGGCACTCAGAGCACAAATGCACCGTTGTCTCTCCTACCCTACAGAAAGTTGCTAGTAGGTAACATATGGCCCCATTTTCAACTGAGAAAACTGAGTCAAATGTCAGATTTCTACCCACACCTGTCTTCTTCTGGGCACCAGCCCATCAGTGGCATGTGCTCCATAGTGGCAGATGAATGTGTTCTACTCTGTCCCCTAGGACATGTATAACCCAGTCTCCAGGGACCTGAAGTAATGCCAGACCCACAGCAGTCTAAGAAGCCTAGGGTCATCCAAGAATCTCACCAAGAACCCAGAGATAAGCCTTCACTTCACAGATAAGGAAACTGAGGCCTCTGGCCCCAGCCCAAGCTCTGCTCAACAGTGTCTAAGGCCTGAGGCCTGAAGATGAGGCAGTACCCCTGGGACCCAGCCCAACCCTGGAGCAGATGGATTGGGCGCCAGTCACAGGCTCTTGATAAACAAGACCAGGGCCCTGGCTTTCACTAAAGCCAGCTGTCCTTTAATGAACCACCCCCTGCCCCAGCACAGACCAGGAAAGGAAGAGCCATAGACTGTGGCCAAAAACAGCAGGGTTCCCTACTGCTGAGCCGCTTGACTTCTCTGTATAAGGAATAGTTCAGTGACAATCTCGCTGAGACCTAGGGCTGTTCACGCCTTCATAGTTTACTAAATTGAATCCCATCTCCATGCACACAGATAAACACGTATTCTTTTCACAAGGCTAATTTCAGGCAATGATGCCTATGTCCTCAGCCATTCTGGAATATGACAACTTTCAGCTTGCCATAATTTGTAGATCAATATAGAACATAAGAAACATACAGGTGAGCCTGGTGTGGTGGTTCACACCTGTAATCCCAGCATTTGGGAGATGGAAGACTGAGAGTTCAAGACTAGCTAGCCTCAGCTATAGAGTAAGTTTGAGGCCCGTCTGGGCTACATGAGACTGTTTATGCCTCAAAAAATGAAAAAGAAAAAAAAAAGAAAAAGAAAGGGAGGAAGGAAAGGAGAGGGAGAGAGAGAGAGAGAGAGAGAGAGAGAGAGAGAGAGAGAGAACGAGCCAAAAAGCCCGGGTGTGCCCAGGGGCCTTCAGCGGAAAGTACAGCAGACCACACCATATGGTCCTTCTATAAAGCCCCCTCCCCCCATCTAAGGAGCCAGTTTCTTTAAATGAACCTCTAATTTCACTGCATAAAGCCAAAGACCCTTTTTCTCCTGGTTCGTTTTTCCTTTTATTAGAGGTGACTTTCAGGGAGATGCTGAAAAAAATAAAAAGACCCTTGGCCTCTAACATGGGGTCCCATTATCACGGAAATATATTATTTAAATGCACTTTTTTTTTCTGTTCATTTGGAAATAAAATTGAAAGAGTGTGGCAATGGTGGGGAAATCTCATCAAAACCCCATAGAGATTGTTCAATAAACGCCTAGATAATTCTGGTTGAGAGCCAGGGACCCCAGAGCCACAACTGACAGCCACAGAGGCCTCCTAACAGCCTCACTCAGGAGAGGGCAGAGGGCTGATTAAATCCCTCTTCAAATTTCACACCACACAGCCTCTGTCCTCCTCCTCAGGAACGGTCCTGCCAGCTCCGCCCCCTGGAAACCAGCAGCAGGAGAATCAGCCCCCACCCCTACCCCACGGTGTCTCAAAGCCACCTGAGATCCAAGGTACTCACCGACTTCCCTTGGAGATGAAAGACATTTTAAAACAAACAAGAGGAGTTCATGGCTCCCTCTGCTCCGACCAGGCAACCTTGTAGGATGGCATGCTTTCAGAGGCACAGCTTCCGGAGGAGCTCCTCTGGGTCCCAGAAGGCAGGAAGCTGACGGATCTCTTCAGGGATGTCAAGGGCTGAACTGTGCTTCCAGACTCTGATCAACCTGAGCTGGGGTCCTGCCTCCCTGGCAGCGCCCTTGTCTTCTGCTGGCCACAGCTGCATAGACTGAGCCCTGACAAAGCCAGCACGTGGAGAGCTGGAGAGGCGGGGCTCTGCCTGGGATGCCGCAGACTGGTGCCCATAGCAACATAGGGCTGGCGCTAGGCTGGTGGTGCTGGGTGGTGGTGAGCAGGGGGCTGGTGGTCTGGGGGACCAGGAGTCCATATGGCTTTGGGCTCCATGAGGGTGCAGGAGGGAAGGCTACTTAATTGTCTTGACATCATTGCCCCACCCACTACTTCTGACAGTCGCTTAGGGCCCTGAAGCTGCAGGGAGTTTTAAACACCCTAATACCAAGGAAATGCCCTCTCATGGTGTGGAGACACTTTACTCCATGCATAGGGAGACTGAGTGGAAATGTTCATTTGCTTAAGATATTTGTGTGGGTGGTATGCCTGAGTGTGTGTATCTATGTTAGGCAGGGTGTGTGTTGTGCAGGGTGTGTAGTGTACAGGGTGTATATGTGGCATGCATGGTGTACGTCTGTGTGTGACATGTATATGTGTGGTATCTATGTGCTTTGTAGGTTTGTGGTGAATGCATGTGATGTGGGTGTTGTATTTGTTTGTGGGAGAGTTGAAAAACCCAGACAGTCCCCACCATGGTGTGTATTCGTTTTAAGTGGGATGGGTGGAGTCAGTCCTAAAGTCCTAAGTGCCCACCAGTTGACCAGGAGTCACGAAGTAGTAGCACTGGGTGGCTAGCCCTGACCATCTGCCTCCAAGCCCAGAGCTTCCCGGGTATTTTTCATTTGTCCATACTAGGCTTGGAGGCAGGCATCTCACCACACATCTGGAATTCATCAGAAACCAGGCCAAAGTCCCACTGGTGTCCCTGTAGTGCCCACCATAGGTTGCTGATAGTACAGGAAGAGGGTCCGAAACTCAAGGATCTTTGCTTCTTACTCTATATTTGCCATATATGTTTACATATGTCTATAATACCATGGCAAGAGAATGTTCTAAGGTGCATTAAAACAAGTGTAATAAAAAGAAAACATTTTAAAGGAAAAGGCTTTCCCTAATAGCAGCATCAGTGGGGGGGGTCTGAGCCTTGGTACCCTGGAGATAAGGGTCTTGCTCTACCCCTCTGTGAAGTGGAGATCTCTGAGTAGGTTCTCGATCCTCATGCCTGGAGGAGTCTGTGGATACTAATGCCCATGTTTCTGATGCAGGGTCCTCCTCATGGTCATTGCCTGGTTAATTTCAGTTGTACTGTCAGTATTTATATGTACTTCTTATTCATTAACCATAGTCTTACTCCATGTGCTGCCCTAGGCACAATTTTCCCACTCTGCAATTGATTGCTAAAATTCCCCTGTTGATGTGATCTCTCTTGATGGGGGAACCTTCCAACAAGTCCTTCTGGCTCCTGGTCAGTCCTGTCTTGAACCTTCCCCACCCTCCACCCCTTCATACCCTGGTTGGAAATGGATGGAAACTAGTGATGAAGTGCTTTCTTTCTCCAGTGGATGCAATTCTCTTCCCCAGTCCTGAGCCACAGGCCTACCAAATTCCAGCTGCTGTCCTGGATGATGATCATAGACCATGATTCATTTTATACATTCACCCCCATTTCAAAGATGGACAGAGCATTTTCTGCCGCCCTAACATACCTCTTGCCAGCCAGAGCATGCATACCCATGCCTCTCAGGAGCCCATCTTCTTTATGGTTTTAGAGGTTTTACTTAACTCACGTTATTTTCTTTATGATTTTTGTTTGCATCTCTGCTTGATTACTTGATACAGAGTCTCTGGTATCCAGGCTGGCCTTGAACTTCTGATACTCCTGCCTCTACCTCCCAAGTGCTGGGGTTTTATGTTTATGTGTTGTTGGGGATTGAACCAAGAGTTTCCCCCATCCTAGGTAAGCACTCTACCTGAACTACATCCCCAGTCCTAGAATCCCATATTCTTTTTGCTGCTTTGTTGGTTTTGTTTTTGTTCTTTGTTTTGCTGGTCTGGAACTCACTATATGGACCAAGCTGGCCTCAAACTCGTAGAGATCTGCCTGCCTTTATTTTCTGGTGCTGGGATTAAAGGAATGGGTCACCATACCTGGCCATCTTACATTCTTTATGCCCAGTTGTTCTTTTTAAAAATAATTGCTTATTGGAATTTGAGACAGGGTCTCACTATGTAGCCCTGGCTGGTCTGGAACTCACTATATGGACCAAGCTGGCCTCAAACTCGTAGAGATCTGCCTGCCTTTATTTTCTGGTGCTGGGATTAAAGGAATGGGTCACCATACCTGGCCATCTTACATTCTTTATGCCCAGTTGTTCTTTTTAAAAATAATTGCTTATTGGAGCTGGAGAGATGGCTCAGAGGTTAAGAACACTGGTTGTTCTTGCAGAAGACCTGGCTTCGAATCCCAGCACCCACATGGCGGCTGACAACTGTCCATAACTCCAGTCCCGGGAGATCCGACAGCCTCTTCTGACCTCCGTGGGCATTGCATGACACGGGTGCACTTACCTACATGCAGGCAATACACACATACATATATAATTAAAACAATAATTTTTTTAAAAAATATTTGCTTATTTATTGCATGTGTGTATATGTATATGAGTAAAGGCATGCCTTGGAACAGAGGACAACTTGCAAGAATCAGTTCTCTGTTTCTACTATATGGGACCTGGGGCTCAAACTCAGATTGTCAGACTTGGCAGCAGGCACCTTTACCCACTGAACCATCTCATTAGCCCTCTGACTTAGTCTTGAGTACTATATTGGGGACGGACAGGCAGTGGCCAGATGACCTGCATTGCCATCCCACAATTCCAGCTGCACAAGTATGAGACTGTACACTGTGCTAAGGAGGAGAGGCCACAGCCAGGGGAGGTGCCTGGCACCCTGAAAGTGCTTACCTCTTATCCCTTCCTGTGGAGAGAGTTCTGGCTTCAAAGCTCTAAGTGACCCCATCTGGCCTTTGCTATGCCAGGAAAATCCCTGAAAATAATAGCATTGGCTTGTGGTCTAGGATGAATGTCTTTGTCTCCTCAAGAGCCCTTGATGTGAAGAGCTGAGGCACCGTGTGTTATATGGCCACCAAAATAACCAGAGAGTGACACAGCAACACGGGGAGACACTCAAAATAGGCAGGATTGCAGAAGCTGTGGTTAGTACTTGGAAAATAATTTTTGGAAATGTGGGGCAAGCAGAGCATGTGGGGGACAGTGTGCAAATGTCCCTGTTTCTCCTGCTTTGATGAAAAAGAGAATAAATAAAACCTAGGAGAGAAGGAACTTCTTTGTTTTCCCAGCATTCATCACAGGCACTTTTCATAGGTGACTTCATTTAATTATCCAAATTCAGATCTTTTTGCCAAAAATTCTCAACTGTCTCGCAGGGAAGAAAAAAAAAAAGGAGGGAGGGCTGCTGGATTAGCTTAGTTGGTAGAGAGCTTGCCTAGCATAAAGGAATCCCTGTGTTGGATCCCAGCACCACATAAACTAGGAATGGTGGCACCTGCCTATAATTCCAGCATTCAGTGGAGACAGGAGGACCAGAAGTTCAAGATCATCCTTTGCTATATAGTGGGTTGAAGGCTAGGCTGGGCTATATGAGGATGTATCTTGAAAATAAAAAGAAGAAAAAAAACTGCTTCATAATTTCTAAAACACTGAGAGGGTCATGCACTGACTCATTTCCAGGATTCACCCCAAGTTCTGCTCCCCCAAACAAGCCCCCAGTCATGCTGGCCACATGTGAACCTGACCATGTGTCACACAGAACTCAGACTCAAAGGGTCTGAGCCTATGTTGGACTCTGTGGTTCAAAATCTAAACAACTTTACTTGAGGTTTGAACAGCGTGGGTTTCCCCATGGCACACAGTAAAATACCAGGCATGTTTTAACTCTGAGCGTCATGACCCCAGCAGCTGCCCTGCAGATAGAACATTTCTCCTTTGCTAAAGAACCTCGTTCGCTGACAGCCAGGATAGTCTCCTTTCTCTTTGCATCTGTGTCAGTCTCTCTCCCTTCCTTTCTCTTTCTTTCTCTCTTTTTTTTTTGCATGTGTATGGTGCATGTAGGTGTATATAGGTGTATGTAGGTGCACACATGCCACAGCACACATGTGGAGGTCAGAGGACAACTTTCAGGAGTCAGCTCTTACCTCTTACATTGTTTGAGGCAGGGTCTCTCTTGTTTCTGCTGCTGGGCCACATGCTCCAGGATAGTGAGACCCTGTCTCAGAAAAAAACCCAGAAGTTGTGTTCTCTACGAGTTAATCAAAAGGAAGAAATAATGTAGTACTATATATTGAATACAAAATTAAATAAGAATTGCTTACTAAATATTTACATAGTGAATAAATGACAGGTAAATCACTGAACACTTGGTGGTGCAGTTTGGGGAGGTTACGGGATTTTTAGGAGGTGGAGCCTTGCTGGAGGAAGTGCATCACTTGGGACAGGCGTTGAGAGTTTATAGCCTCACCTACTTCTAATTCTTGCTTTCTGCTTTGCATCTGCAGTTGAAGATGTGAGCTCTCAGCTCCCTGCTCCTACTGTTACACCTGCTGCTAGGTGCCACGCCTCCCCACCGTGATGACTCCAACCATCTGGAACCTTAAGCCAAAATAAATTCTTTCCTCTATAAGTTGTTCTTGGTAGGCCATGATATTTTACAATAGCAACAAAACGTAACTAATACCCATTATGGAACATCATAAATTCTAATCCATAGACTCCAGTAAGGCCATACAGCTGGCTGTGGAATGCCTAGTGGTAATCTCCCAGTTCTATTCACCAGATCTCATGCCTGCTTGGGCTCATCCCCACCAGCAGTAAGTAGAATGCTTCAGCAAGAGTCAAGTGTGTTCATACACACCTCTAATCTCAGCACTTTGGAGGCCAAGATAGGAGGATCACAAATTTGAGGCCAGCATGGACTACATAGGGAGATTCTGATAGGCAAGGAAGAAGGAAGGGAGGGAGGGGGTGAGAGAAGAACATTCTATAAATTCTCAACTTCCAGGGCTTCCTCCTCTCAATGGAGCATCAAGGACTGTGGCGGTAATGAGCAATGTATGC